GACAGACACAGCATATACCATGTGCTTCAGGAACACACACACACATTGATCTGAGGACAGAATATGGACCTTGTGTTGTCATTTTGTGGCTCAGACCAACAACCCTGCATTGCCGTTCTCACGCAGACCTCAAGGACTTCATGGTACTCATTAAACATATAGAGCCTAAAAAAAACCAGACAGGCCGACATATAGAAGGACAGATATTTTTCTTTTACATAGTAATGTTTCTTTGCCATGCCTTATTCTGCATATTGCTCTTGAAGGTTGTTATTTTGGGGGGATATCTAATAATAGTCTCCTACCTAACTTTTTAAAATTTCCATTTTTAAAATAGTATAATTTAAAAAGCAACTATTTACAATTGATGTGCTATTGTGTATTACCAGGTTAACTATGATCGTTCAAGCTTACTATGTAAGGTAGATATTCCCAGAAAGAAAACCTTAGTCAATAGAAATTTACATGTGAGAACAGAAGTAACAATTCATGTGACTACTACATTTCAGAGGTTAAATATAATGTGGGATAAGGAAACAAGACCATTTGTGTTCTAAACTGATTGGACAAGAACCCTGCAAGTTACAGTTTCAAGTCTGTGGAATGGTGAATCCTTCAGGAAGAGGCACCCTGAAGCAGCTAGACAAGCCAGCAATATACTGCAAGGAGAGAACTCCTTGTCAAGGAGGAGTGGAGTTTTGAACATTGATTGGAGAAGAAGGGAAAACATGTTGCCCAGGGAAGCTAATACTTTAATAAAATAGTGCTTTGCATCCACCAAACAGGGCTAGCAGGAGCTGCCAAAGGCATATATGTTTTGAACTTGATTGAAAGTTCAAAAAGATAAGCAGGTGTAGGAGAGAAGAAAACAAGGTCAGGGAAGACTGAACACAGCATACTTACTTTATGAACTCTGCTCAAACTAGCTTGCAAATTTACCTTTTTGAGCTTATGAGATGTCACACAGGTAAAAGAAGATCCCTTGAAGTTTTTCTAGTATTCCCAAGCTAAAATAAAGTTGATTTCTTAGTTTAACCAAGCTATTTCAAAGAAATTCTCTCCTGGCCTGCAAATAGGGTGTGATAATGACATCTAACACATTTCTAGTTAAAGAAAATTTTAATGGATTAAAAAAAAAAAAAAACTTTTCACATCTCATGCAGATGTAACCCAAAGCTCAATTCAGCAGAAGTATTTTTGTTCAAACTTTTTGAAAAGATGTGCCATTAAAGAAAATGTTGAAAGTCCACAGGGATGGATGATGTACAAGTTCCAGACAAGTCTCATAAATATTTTTATGACCAACTTTGTTTATTTTCTGACAGAAGCTGAAAATGTGGGTATTTTATATGGAATTATTAAGGCAGATTTATATGCAGTAGATATCAGGCAAAATTAAGGCTAAGGTACAATATCTTTTTATGAGTTTACATGCAATCAAATAAAATACATACATGAATAAAGTGCCACTCACCAAATAGTCAAAATTTTTACTAGCAAATAACATCACAAGGACAAATGGACATTTGGGACCTTAGTAGTGAAAACAACTTTAATATGTTTTGACTATTTCAGAGAAAATGTTTGATATGAAATAGGAAACCATTTTTATTATGTCATTGAAATCAACATTGCAGGATGAAAAATCAGAAATGGAAATTTGGAAAAATTGGGTACACAGGGCAGAAATTAAAATATGACATCTTAATAAACTACTTTAAAACCAATCAGGAAATCCAGCTATGTATTTGTAGCCTGTAATGCTAATATCAAACCAGGCCTGAGGCATTTCCTGGGGGATTAATGACCAGAGGGAATTAATGGCCCTTGGCTTCACCTCAGGCCATCTACTTTCCCAGCCAGTCATTAATCCTAAGAAATGTCCCGAGCCTCAATCATTACAACGTAATTGAGATGTCACGAAAAGGGTTAAAGAAGTTTTGACTATTTTACTACATGAATACCAGCAGTGAAATGCATTTAGAATCCCTGTTTAAAAGACTGTAATTGCCTCAGATTCTTTATATTATCATAACTCTTCAAAATTGATTGGTTTTAGGTTTATGGAAAAATATGCAAATGCACAGAGATATGACACACATTTCTCATTGTGGAAATAAAAGTAGTTCACGTAGAATTCATTTGATTGAGTTTGATTACTGAACAAAATATAATTATTTTAGAGCCATGATCTGACTTTCCTGAAGACGCACATTGGAGGAAAGCAGCACTTGGCACATGTGCTTCTTCACAAGCTCAAGTGCCTCGAGTCAGACAATGGCTACTTGGAGGATAATGTGTCACTGCCAGAATATTCAGCTAGCAGTAACCATGCACTCCAACAAAATGAGAGGAAGCTCCTTCATTTAGAGCAGCGCACAGTTAAGGCCATCTACTTCCACCTCAATATTTTGGAACTTTATTTCTCAAATAAGACCTCTAATCTGTTTACAATGATGCCTCATTTGCCTAAGAATCCACTAACATCAGACAATGGAGAATGGGTCCGACAGAAAGAGTGAGAACCAACACAGTCCGACTAAGAACAACTAGAAAATCTCCACTAGAGAAGTACTTTTTACACTTTTAAAACTTGGTTGTCATTGTAGGAAAGGGACAAACTGCTGCTTGCTGCATGTGGCAGTGTACACCTCTAATCCCAGCACCTGGGAGGCAGAGGAAGGTGGATTTCTAAGTTGGAGACATAGCAAGTTTCAGGATAGCCAGGGCTACATAGTGGATCACTCAGAGAGACAGACAGACAGACAGATAGACAGAGACACAGAGACAGAGACAGAGACAGAAAGGCATAGAGAAGGAAGGAAGGAAGGAAAGAAGGCAGGCAGGAAAGAAGGAAAGAAAGAAGGAAAGAAGGAAGTAAAGAGACAGAAAAATAGAGAGAGAGAAAGAAAGAGAAGGATCGAATTTTCTTTTTTTTCTTTTTTTTTTTTTTTTTTTTTTTGGTTTTTCGAGACAGGGTTTCTCTGTGTAGCTTTGCGCCTTTCCTGGAACTCACTTGGTAGCCCAGGCTGGCCTCGAACTCACAGAGATCCGCCTGGCTCTGCCTCCCGAGTGCTGGGATTAAAGGCATGCGCCACCAACGCCCGGCAGGATCGAATTTTCTAAAGACAGATTGTGGCTAGGAATCTGACAGCAACTCCTTGTAGTTCTGATCCTGGCTGCCTATCAGCTAGAGGGCCCTTTAAGATGTGATCCTTGATAATTATATTTTACACAGCAAGCTGTGTCTAGAGATCCCTTCCTTGCAAACTCTTTTGTTTCTTCTCAGGGTCCTACGATCATCATTTTATGGAGAATGGGATTGGCCAGTCTAACATGTCCTATGCACTGAAGGTCTGAGGATAGCAATGGTGGTGACATGTATGAGAAAACAAAGGATCAAAGACAGACTCCTGACAGTGTTGTAGTGTTACTCTGAATGAGTCACCTTCTGTGGGGCTTTAACGGGTACAGTTAGCCAGCCGCTCACTGTTGGAGTAGGTTTGTTTCAATAGCACCATTTAGAAACATTTCAGAATTTTAAGTGTGTGCTGTTAGATGAGTGGGATTTCTTAGTGCCTTAAATGGCCAACTTAGGCTGAGCACAGGACAAAGGAATGCAGTGCATTCCGGGTCGATGAACTGACACCAGTAATGGCCAGACTGCTCCCCAAGGAGTTATTATTAAAAGGACCGAGAGGGGAAAAAAAGGCCCATGGGCTTGCTTGGCTATCCCTGTTCAACACCCAGCAACCCAACCTCAGAGACATCTAAACAATAACTGAAAGACAAGACCAAGGAAGAGGCAAAGGACAATCTGGGTCACATGATTTTTCCTAACCGCCCCCCCCATGCCCTCATCCCCCCACTCCCCCCCCCTTCATCCCCACCCCCACCCCTGCCGACTTGAAGGAAAAGCCAAAGGAATTATCACCTTGGAAAAGAGGTTCTGGAAAAGCTGGCCTGAGTCCCTCCACCGGGTATCTGCTGCTCAGTGGACTTGATGATTAGAGGGCTAGAGGGAAGTTTCTTGTTAGGGAGACATGGCTTAGAGATAAAAAATAATACAGAAATGTCCCTTTACCTAGGGACTCTTGGAGGGAGAAAAGTTTCAGATGTCTTGGCAGAATTAGGCAACAGGAGTATTCCTAAGACTGTAAGTGCACTTCCAGCAGCACAAACATCCACCTTTATTTGTCTGGAGCTGAGCTAACAATGCAAGAAGTGAAGGGAACTGACAGAGATACAGGAGGGGAATTTTAGAATAATGTGCACTGGACTTTGAACACAAGAAAGGGACAAGAAAAAGATGAGCTCTACCCAGAGTACTTAACTGGTATGGATGAGAAACACAGCAGTATTCAATGCTATGTCTGAGTAAAGTTAATCTAATAGACAGGTTTCTCAGGTAATGGAGGCAGCCAACTCCACTCTCCTGTCTGTGGATTTCTGATACCAGAACATCAGGCAACTAACACAAAGTTATTTGCCTAGTATCATTGGTCTAGAAGATTATTTTAAGGAGTTTTAATCTTTAGCACATTTACTAGTATGCAGATGATCCAAACCAAAATAAATAAAATTATCAAAGTCATTTAACCTTTAAGTTGCCCAGGCTAAACCATTAGAATCAGTTTTTAAACATTTTCCTTCTTTCCTTCATCATGTCTAATATACAGACAAATCTTGTTATTCTACAGGGTAGAGTAGAATATATTTCCCCTGTAATTCCTTCTGCTGTTACTGTCATGGTTCAAAATGCTGGTGGGTGTTTTTCCCTCAAAGCAACAACAGTTTAGCTGTTTTATTGGCTTCTACTCGCTCTCCTCCAGTCCATTTCCAACTAGAAGCCAGAGCAATTGTGAAAAATTAACAATTTTATGTATGTTCCAATATTATACAGTGAATAAAGGATGGGCAACTTAGTTACTTTTATATTGCTATGATTGGAAACTGTGACTACAGCAACTTATGAAAGAGAGAACTTAATTTGGGCTCACATTTCCAGAGGTTTCATGACCATCATGGTTGACAGGCATGGTGCTGGAACACACGTCTTGATCCGCAAATATGAGGCAGAGAGACAGAATGGAGAGGGCTTCTGAATCATGAAAGCCTCCACCCCCCAGTGACACATCTCCTCCCTAGAAGCCACACCTAAACCTTCCCCAACAGACCCACCCATCATCAACCAAGTATTCAAGCATATGAGCATGGGAACCATTCTCATTCAAACCACCACATTCCACTCCCTGACCCTCACAGGCTCATGGCAATATCGTAATACAAAATGTATTTAGTCCAACTTCAAAAGCTCCCACTGTCTTTCACCATCCCAATACTGTTTAAAAGTCCAAAGTCTCTTCTGATACTCAAGACTATCTCTTAACTCTGAGCATCTATAAAATAGGAACTGAAAAAGGCAAATTACGTACTTCTAACATACAATGGCACAGAATATAATACATTACCATTCCAAAAGGAAGTAATGGGACCATAGTGAGGAAACACTGGACTAAAGAAGCCTGAAACAGGACAAACTTCACATCTTGGAGTTCCACATCTGATGTCAAATATCCTAGATGTCTCTACCCTTTCAGTTTTGCTGAATGCAACACACACGTCTGCATTAGGTTGCTTTCACTCCCTGTATGCAGCTCTTTCTGGCAGACATCCAACAGCTCTGGCATCTCCATCATTCTGGGGTCACTAATACAGTCCAGGAGGCATTACTTTTACAGCTTCAGCTTCAATCAGTGACTTCTCAGGATCTCCATTCAGGAACTCACCTGTCATATGCTTGGTCTTAGCAGTTTTCCTCAACTGTGGAGAAAGATTCCACAAGCCCTTACCCCTGTTTCCCTCATGACTCTAAAGCCAGAACCACATGGCTGATATTGCCAATTTAGTTGCCTGCTTGGACTGGAGTCTGGCCCCCTTCCATGGATTGCATTTGCATAAGCCTTTCTTTGTAGCTGCCTTCTAGAACACCCTAACTGTCATGATAGAACCCTCATCCAGTGACTGATGGAAGCAGATACAGAGATCCACAGTCAAGCCCCAGGTGGAGCTCCAGGAGTCCAGTTGACGATAGAGAGGAGGGATGATATGAGCAAGAGACATCGAGACCATGACTGGAAAAAGTACAGAGACAACTAGCCAAACTAGTGGAAACACATGAACTGTGAACCAATAGCTGAGGAATCCCCATGGAACTGGACTCGGCCCTCTGGGTAAGTGAGACAGTTGTTTAGCTTGAACTGTTTAGGGGGTCCCTAGGCAGTGAGACTGGGACCTGTCCTTAGTTCATGAGCCAGCTTTTTGGAACCTAGTGCCTATGCTGAGACACTTTGCTCAGCCTTGGTGCAGGGAGGAGGGGACTGGACCTGCCTCAACTGAATGTACCAGGCTCTTCTGACTCCCCAGGGGAGACCTTACCTTGGAGGATGTAGGAATGGGGGCATGGGAGGAGGGAGGACAGGGGAATCCGTGGTTGATATGTAAAATGAATAGAAAATCTCTTAATAAAAAGGGGAAAAAAGGAATTATTCTAAATGTAATTCTGATTGAAACTGGAAAAAAAAGAAGTGGAAAAACCTCCAGTCTTTTCCTTTCACAGGTTGCAGGATGAACTGTGTGGGGGTCTTGCTCATTTCACATGAGGCCTCTTTTCCAACACAAGCCTTGACTTTGACGTTAAATTTCCTGGTGTTCTTTTTCTCCTCAAACTTTCCATTTTGAATTTCTTTTTGTCCCATTTGCTCTTTGTCATTGCAGACCTGTATAAGAGTGATTACTGATAACCATACAACAGAGTAATAGGCTGCTTGAAATACCTCTTCCAATGAAATTAATCCATTATTTTTTAGTTTTCAGGACAAGGCAGAAAGAAGCCAAGTTCTTTGTCAAAATATCACAGGAATGGTTTCCAGCGAGTTGCTAAGGTTGTTCCCCTCTGAAACTTCTTGATCCAGGCCTCCATGGTCCACATGTCTCTCAGTACTACTATCTCCCAAGCGCCTACTAGCTTGGCTCATTTAGCGCTACTTACAGAGTCAAGAACTTTCCTAGTCCAAAGTCCCAAAGCCCACATTCCTCCAGAACACTCTAGTGCTGTTAGATCCGTCACAGCAGTACCCAACTAGTGACCGACTTCTGTCTTAGTTACTTTTCTATTGTTGTGGCAGTCGGCATGACAGATATTGACTCAGGACAACAGAATCCAGAGCCTTCTCCAGAGGTTAAATCTCAGTTTCAGGTTATCACCCAGTATGCACCCATGAAGATTTTTCTAAATAATACTTCTTGATAACCCAAATAAGACTTCATATTTATATAGAACTAGATTCTTGTTTTGGGTCCTTTGCTCAGAAATGTAGCCTTAGGAAATAATTAACACCACCACAAATATGCACTTACATACACATGCATATACACCAGAGTTCTGCAATATGTGTTCAAAATATTCTTAAATTTTCTCATAATTGATTAAATATATATTTCAAAATTAATTTTCCCATTCTTGAGACCCTTGTAATGTTGTTTATTCTGATATTTGGAAATTCCTATCAGAGTGGCTTTGGTTGATATTAAAGAATTGTAGACAGTTGAATATATCTGCCATATTGTCTATCTGAAGGTCAAGATGGTGAGTAGTTTACTTGTAGTTCTCTAAAGAATATTAAATACTATAGACTTCCCATTTTACTCATTTCACATACTTTCTTTTTCTAAAATAATAGATTGCCCTGAAGTTGACAAGTTATGGTAAAATTTTGTTCTGATGCAAATTGAAAGTAACAAGATATGACCTGAAATAATGGAAGCAACATTTGAACCTCAGTAGTACAGACTCTAGGCTTGGGTTCTTTAATAGTGGGAAATACTCTCAGAGGAGGCCATCATGGATCTGTGTATCTGTTATTATGATTGTAGCTAAAGAGTTGGTATATTGAAATCTGCTGGTACTGCCTTAACATTACAAAGCACAATCTTTAAGTAAGCAAAATACAGTTAGATTGGATCTCTCATTCTCATGTCAATTCAGTATTAGGCTCAAATCTTATCTTAGAATTAGAGCCATGTTTCTTTCAGTCATATTTTGCTACACTGTTTCTGACACTCTTAAATTGTCTTCTTAGTGTATTGTGAAATCTTTTCGTTTTTTCAAAGTTTGAATAATTTATTTTGTTTCAAGTAATACAAAGTCATAAAACAAAGAGGGAAATACTCTATTTTAATTCCCCTTGGCCAGCTATAGTATATTTATAATTGTGTTTGCTATCTCAAATTTTTTATATTAATATAATTTTTAGGAATTTCAAATCATGCACCCCAATCCCTTTCATTTTCCAGTCCTTTCATATCCACCCTCTGCCTTTGTAGCCTCCCTGTCCCCCCCCAAAATTAAAAAAACCACCTACTCTTCCAGTACTACTATCTTCTACTATCCTTAGCTCTACTTATAGAATTCAAGCACTTTCCTAGTCCAAAGTCCCAAAGCCCACATTCCTCCAAAACACCCTAATACAGTTAGATCTGAAAAAGAATTTCAAAAAGGAAAAGAGAACAAACTACTTCACTCCTTCATCTTTCCCACCTCTCCATCACATGTTCATTTGGTGTAGTGACCTTGGGAGCCAACATACCCTCTTGTCCAAACAACTTTACTTGAAAATGTTCATTGCAATGCGTCATTGGTCTGGTTCAAGGCCTCTGCCTTCTGGCACACCATCAATCCTGGACCCTCACTGAAACTTCTTTTGCAAGCCCACTGATGCCCTGATTCATGGAGATCCTGTGGCTATGGTTCTACAAGATCAGTCCCTTCATGAGCTCCAGTAGGTCATAGATGGAGTAGATGAAAGGGTGGGCCAACTTAAAGCACTGTATGTGGGCCTAGGTGGTAGTTGGGTTGGTCAGTTCAGGCCTCCACCAGGAGTGCTCCCTTCAGGTAAGGGTCAGGGCCTGCTCTCCCTTGTCCATGCCATCAGGCCAGCTTTCCCACACAGATGGTGAGGGGGTGGAGTCAGCTCTTCCATGTGCAAGCCAGCTCTCCCATTGTTGGGGCCAGTGCATGGGGGGTGGGAGGGCAGTTTTCCCAGGGCTGTCTAAAGTCCCAGAGCCAGCTCTCCTGTAGACAGGGTTTTCTGTGTTCAGGCAGTCAGTTCTGTCTCACCAGACAGCTCCCCAAATAACTACATAGAGAATATTATTAATTATAAATGCTTGGTTGACAGCTTAGACTTGTTACTAACTAGCTCTTACATCTTCAATTAACCCATATTTCTTATCTACACTCTATCACGTGGTGGTATGTGGTGGTAATCTAATTGTACCTTTCTCTTTTACATTGTTTCTGTGTTTCTTATTTAATAAGACGGTTGGTTACATCTACAGTGGTACTTTTTTTTCAGCATGATATGTTCATCTCCTGGTTTCTCTGCATCTGGCTGGCAACTCTGCCCTCCTTCTTCTTGACTTTCTTTCTGTCCTCAAGTCCCACCTAACCTGCCTAGCTATTGGCCAGTCAGCATTTTATTAACAATGAGAACAACACATCTTCACAGTATACAGAAGGATTATTTCATAGCACTCTCCCATGTCCATGGCACTGGGGCAGCTCTCCCACTGGTGGTCAGTGAAGAGTAGGACCGAGTCTCTGATGCCCAGTCCACTGGGGCCAGCACTCCCATGGCCCTGGTGTTAACACAGGCCATGGACATCATCACAGACCCTTCTTTGGTAAGGCCACGGACCAAGACATGGTCCTCAGCAGCAACTCAGGCCTGGATGTCACCATGGCCTCCTGTGGCAGTGCAGTCCACTCAAATCAGTATGGCACTGACAGTAGTGTGACTATGGGACACCATCGTGGCCTCAGATGGCAGCCCAGAGCATGAGTATCTGTACAGCCTTGTGTAGCAGCATGGGCCATGGACATCAACATAGACCTCAGCTGTGGCCGGGCCACAGACCCAGCAACAGCACAGATAACAGCACAGGCCTAGACATCACATGACCCCAAGTGATAGTGGAGGGCATCCATATCAGCCTGTTCCTCACCATCATTTCATTTTCATTTCTGCCTCTCTCCACAGTGCAGGAACCACTCTTCTCCTTCTTCCCCATTTCTCCACCACATACCTGTTCATTGTAGTGATGTCTACCCAGGCTGCTGCTGTCTTCCACCGGCCCAGGCTGCTTAGTGCAAGACGGGTCTTTGTAAATCTTGAATGATCATAACTGCTCAGTAGTTACTGGTGGATTAATTGATTTGCTTATTGATCAGTACTATAATGTTTTTCACAGATATTATTGTCACTGTCTCTAAATGTTTAACAACATGCAGACATATGCTATGTTATAAATCCTCAATACATGTTAACTCTAATAACTATATGTTGACTGTAATAAGTCTAATATAACTCTGTAATAACTATATGAAACTGTAACAACTCTAATACAGCTTTATAATAAATATATGAAAACTGTAATAAGCACAGCAATTCCATAAAATCCTTAACAAGTAGAGCAGTGTATTTATTTTACAAATGAATTAAGCTGTGAAAATACAAGAGGAGGAGCTGGCATGTCAGTATCGCAAGAGTGAACTGTGTGACTAAATTGGGATTGAACTGGCACTGTGGACCTCATATCTAATCACTGAATCCAGCTAGCATAGCATTCCAGATGTTGTGACTCACAGATAGGCAGATATCTCTCTTAATAAATATGTCATGTAAGTATCTGTTGATATTAATAATGGCCATTGCCACAGAGCACATATACCAATGTAGGGGATACCTTTCAACTCTCCACTGTTTTGTCACCACCAGGATCTCAGGGGACCCCAACCTTAGAAGAAAATCTACAGACCTCTGAGAGAAGGAGAATTAGTTTTTTCCAGGGATGAGTTCCCTAATTATTTATCCAAGTGGTCAACCATAAAAACATACACCTACAAACAGGACTCAACAGGTGGCCTTTATAAATTTATTTGTATAACAATAATAGTTAAAGAATAAGAGGTCATGAAGTTGGGCTGGCATGGGCAGTGCATAGAAGGGAGTTGAGGGAGGAAAGGGAGGGAAAAGTGGTGTGACTATGCTTTAATTAAAAAAAAACCTTTAAAAATGATAGGGAAGAAAAGAAGTAAAGTTCTCTGATCAGTAATCACATTCTTAAACTCAAATTGCTTACTTTATTATGAAAATACATTGTGATCATGGGTAGGCAATGCTGACTATTATGTTGAGAAGTTAGATAATGGATATACTATACCTTTTTCTTTGAGAAAAAGTGACAGTGGCTGTGTAAACAAGACTCACACAGAAAGTGTGACAGAGAGGAGAATCCATCTCTCTTTCCCATCAATGACATCTCTGAAGCCTGCAGTAAAACTGTTGGACTGTCTGGCTTGAGGCTGGTTGGTAGACTGTTTTCAAGGACATTTAAGTAGCTGTGCAATTAGTTAGTCATTATTACTTTCCCAAATTATTAGGGTATCTTCCATTTACCCTCAGTAGGGAATAAAATGGGCCAAGTCAATAGAACTTTCATTTCAAAGTAATATGTGTCACTTACCTCAAGACTGAATGAATTTAAAGTGAATAAAATTGAATAGCTGGGTTGGGATAGTGTCACATGCCTGTAATCTCAACACTCAGGTAACTGAAGCAGGAATATCCTGAGTTTGAGGCCAGCCTGGGCTACATAAGGAAACCCCATTTCAGGAACCAAATCAACTAACCAAACAACCAGCCAATTGGGTTTTATTTATTTAGTTGGTGAAATAGCCATTGCAGTTTGTTCTCATTTTGATTGGGTTCTTTTTCTGCCCCACTTATTGAAACTGATTGATATTGCTGGCAATTTGCTTCCTTAATTTTTCCCCCACCTTTATGCTTTCAATGTTCGTATCTGTATGCTTTTTAGTACGTATATAAACAATTTTAAGAGAGATTAAGAGTGTGTTTTTGTTATTGTTTGCTAACCTGAAACACCATAAGCATCCAAAGGTGACCTTAGACTTGTGATCTCTCTGCTTTCACTTCACAAAGTGATGGGATTACAGGCATCTGCCACCAGATCCAGCTGGGTAAGGATTTTGTAATTGGCATTTCTCCTCCTCCTTCTCCTTCTCCTTCTCCTTCTCCTTCTCCTTCTCCTCCTCCTCCTCCTCCTCCTCCTCCTCCTCCTTCTCCTTCTCATCCTTCTCCTCTTTCTCCTTCTCCCCCTTCTTTCTGTTTTATCCAGTTGCAGATGTGCTGCTCAGTGTTAATATTTTTTTAAAGCAACACTCACTTAAGGTTGTTTTATTTTAGAAGACAAAATGGAAAAAAAATTAGCTGCTTAGAAAATTTCTGAACTGTGCAGATCCTTTGTTGATAAATGCTTACACATCAAAGCTTACTGCTTTGGACATTGTTGTTCTTTTTTTTTTTCATTTCATTTTTCCTTATTAAGAAATTTTCTACTCACTCTACATACCCTCCCAAGTCACCCCACACCCCCACATCCCCCAAATCAAGGTCTCCCATGGGGAGTCAGTAGAGTCTGGCACACTGAGCCTAGGCAGGTCCAAGCCCCTCCCCACTGCACCAAGGCTGTGCAAGGCATCATACCACAGGCACTGGGCTCCCAAAAGCCTGCCCATGCACCAGGGATGGATCCCGATCCCCATGCCTGGGTGCCCTTCTTATTTAGCCAAAATGATGTAGGAGTTGGAACTCATTACAACTCATCCTCACTGGCTCTGATGTTTGAACAGGTATATATTATTGTGAATTATTTTTATATAACATTTACAATTTTATTAAAATTTGGGATGGATCTCAGCCAAATTATCTGATATAAAATTTAAAAATTCTATAATCAGAAGGATTAAAAACATTTATGGATTTTAAAAGATACTTTTTGATTTGTGTGTTTCTTCATTGTCAAGGCAGATACAATTTATATCCTTCCTTATCCACAACACAAAATTTTCTAGTTTGAAAGTTGCCAATTAATGCCAAGGTCTCACTTACACAGTAATTCAGAGTCTCATAAATCCCTAGCTCTTCCAAGACAACATTGAGTAGAAAGAAACTACAAGATTGAGTCTTCAACTGCGTTCTTAGAGTCAGACCAGAGCAAAGAGCTTACTTCTCTCTAGAGAGTACACTGATTCAGAGAAGTGTTCCCATGAACAGATATTAGCACTGGATGAGATCATCATTGCTGCTTCAGAAGAAACGGGGGATTTAGCACCTGATTTGAACATCCAGTGCTGTGAAGACGCCATCTCTCTATGCACTAAGAAGAAATGTATAATCTTCTGAACTTTGAAGAAAAGTCTAGGAGAACTTGTGAATGTATATATACATACATACATACATACATATATATGCAATTTTGTTTCAAAATAAGGCTATATCACTAGAATGACAGGGTAAGTCAGTCACTCTATCAGTAAGGATTTGTACTAAATTTCTTATGCCAAACATTAATGAAGTCTCTTGAATTTAACACAAATGTAATTTTATGACTATTTACATCACTTTTGAACATAAGCTGACAATGTTTAACTTCTGCAGAAAATTGATGTCTCCTCTCAATCAATACACAAACTCACAGTAAAGGACGTAAAAGAGAAGCAGATATAAGGTCCTAGTATGAGACAGGTAGCACTTCAGAAACAGGTTATTTGGGATTTTTAGGATTAAGAATGTTGGAGATTTTTATATGGAGGAAAACCAGGAATTCTTTTTTTCTTTCCAGGTCTGTCTCAAACTATAAATAGCCAATTTTCTTAAAAAACATATTTCTGGGGATTTTGGATAGTTGTTTGATGATTGCTGGATTATGGGAATGAAGATATCAATATATCCAACTTCAGTGGCTGTCATGGTGAGTTCTTCAAAATAAATATAACTACTTATATTGTTGTATCTATTTGTATTGAAATTGTTTGAAAGGATAGCTCAGTGTACAAAGAATTTAGTCACCAAAGTAAAAGAACATAGTGGTTTCTAGACATGAGGGATATGGGCAGAGTAGTGAAAGTGTGGACAATAGTGCTTATGTTTGTGTCTCTCTGCTTCAGACTGACACTATTATTCTCCATTCATTGATGTGGAGGCTCATTTACACTTTGTTAGTTGACCCCACCATGATTTTCTAAAAGGGGACCTAGAGAAAAAATCTAAAAGTCTCAAATACCAGCTGGTTGCTGTTTGTAGGTCCCCATGCTATACTAATTTGTCTGATCATCCTTCAATGTCATGGAACTGAGTCTTAGCCATGTGGGATTTCTCCTTCGTAGTCTTTAACATCACTTCTAAGTAGTAGTGCTCCCAGGGCAGTTAACTGCTTGAGCTGTCCTCTAGGCCGTCATCACTGTGTTTCCCCCTAAAATGTGTCCATGTTTTGCCTTTTAAATCACTAACACCCAGTTAAGAAGTTTAAACACCCTTATGTTTTTGTTTCAACTACTCCTGCAAGTAAAAACAATAAATGAAAAAAGTTTGTAGTGATTTTTTTTTTGTTAAAGTAAGTGGTATAGATTCAGCTACACAAATAAATTTGGTAGTGATTCAGAATAAAGAAATGTTTGACATCAGTCAAGGTTCCTTAAAGAAGAAAGTGGAGCTAATGGGCAAAACGTGAGGGAAAGAGGAAATGGTGTGTGGGAAGATAATCAGAGAGATAAGAGCCAAGGGAGCAGAGGAAGGAACCTCCCATGGCCGACTTTTATAGGCCTAAGAATAAAAATCACCTTCTGGAGCTCTGCATTCTACTACAAGGAGGTTTGGAGGATGAGCTTCTGGGCTTCTTAAACCTCTGTTTGGTGGTCCTCATTCCATGTATAGTTCTGGGTTGGGAGCATCAGATTGTCACTGAGAAGGAAAACAGGCTGTTAGGAAGATTTGACCACCTACTGGGCATCTGAGGGTAGAGACAAGGTCTAAGTTGTTTAGGGCCAGGTTTTCTTGGAAAATTGTTGCAAAACAGATGATATCTTTCTTTGCCAAGACCCATGTGTTTAGCATTTTCTGGTGTGGGACTCTATCCATTCTAAGAAATGAAGGAGGTAGCAAACTGCCCTTGTTTTAATGAATAATCTCACCCCCAGCTTCACTGTTGCAGTTGATGGTTTAGGTTCTCATGACACAGGGTAGCACATTTTGACAGGATGGAAAAAGTGCTTACTGCATATACAGCAGCATTCCAAGCGGCAAACTGGGAATAACTATTCCACCCTTTTGACCAATCATAACTGAGCCCCGTCAATGAAACAATGTATTAATTTAGAGTAAAAAGTGGACTAATTGCCATTCTCAGAACTGCTAATGATGTACTTTGCTGTATAATAAAAGGGCAATATAAACAAGAATATAATTTTAATTGACATTGAAAGCAGTGTGATTAAAATAATGATATATTTTCATCTAATATATGATTTTTATGATGTTCTTTTGGAAATGGTTTCATCTTGGAAAGTTAGATTTCTTTTATGTTTGTCTATAGTCAAGTCTCTATCTGAAATACTTAAGTGATCTATCACTTTTAATTCCATAGTTTATAACATTGACATTTCCTGTAAAACTTTTCATACATGCTGTTTCTCTTAATTCTCACAATAGAGTGGCAAGAGAATTATTGATTTTTATTTGCCTAATGATAGACATTTGACTATATAACTCACATGACTCAATCATTTGCACTGTCTACTGTAGAGAACTGCCTCTTGGTAATAAATCACAGCTTTCCTTGGCATTTGGGAGAATATAGGTAGTGATTTGGAAATGTGAAACTGGTATAGTAATGACCCCACAGGACACGTTAATGTATAAGGTCTGAGGGATAATAAAGGAACTAACCATATTGCATGTCATCCAGTTTTGTAGCAAACCATATGGGTATACTCAAACTCCATAGCAGATAAGTAGTGTGGCGTCTAGAAAACATCATATTTTATCATGGAGTAAGGAGACACAATACACATGTTTCCATGGGAGAGGAATATTTTTACAGTTTGCATTGAAATTCAGATGCACTTAAGAATGGTTGGATATGATTTTTTTTAGAAGATGAAGAGAAATCTCACTGTCTGTGTGATCAGAAGAGCCCAAGCAGTCCTTCCTAACTGAGGTGAGGAGGGTTTTTCCCCAGGAAGAGCTTACCCAGATCACATAGAATGCCTTCCGCCACCATCATCCTGCCTGTGCCCTTCAAAGGTGAGCTCACAGGGATTTGGGTTTGCAGAAAAGATTTTCTGTGATTAAATTATGGGAGGGGTGAACTTTTTTCTGCTGTTATTGTTGTTTATTGCAGTCCCAAGAAAGGAGAAGAAAAGGAGGGGCTGATGCAGGCTAAGCAAGGAAACTTTTTCAGAATATCAATGATATCTGAAGAACACCTTTCAATTTTACTTGCTTGTATTTCTATAATCCAGTTTTCTCCATTTGCCCAAACATTTTGGAGAGACTGCTGCATACACAAAGGCATTAAAAAATGTAGGAGAAAAGATCTGTTCACCTTCTCTTTTCTTTCTAATATTTAACTTAATAATTTATTTTTGTGTATATGTGTGCTCATGCATGCGTGCATGTGTGTGCATGCATAGGGGTGGGTGTGTCTGTGTGTGTACAAGCATGTATGACACATAATAAATGCAGAGGTCATAGGATAATTTCCAGGAGTTCTCTCCTTTCACAATGTAGTTTCTGAGGATGGAACTCATGTTATTGGGATTGGTGGCAGGTGCTTTTTTTTTTTTTTTTTTTTTTTTTTTTTTTTTTTATTAAATGGGCCATCTCACTTGCTCTCTCTTTTTAATGTCCATCATCTCACCTCTCTCTCACTTAGTGTCCATGAGGCAGTTTCTAGAAGTACTCATATCTGTATACATCATTAATTAAGAGATGATTTGGGGAACATGAATACACTGGCATTAAGACGTCTTTAGGAATCCACATGAAATTCTGTAGATAGGAAAGATAATCTTGTTTTATTCTTACCTAGGTATTAAAAACAAAAGGCATATGCCATGCTGCTAGAGACAGAAATTTATCATTTGGTGATTTCTCAAAAAAAAAAGTTAATCATACAGTTATCATATCATCCCTCTCTACCACTCCTGACTGTACAGTGGAAGAAATGTAAATGAGCATACCACAAGCGTTTGCTTATGATGTTTACTGACATACTGTTCATAATGAGCAAGTTATGAAATCAGCCTAGGTGCCTAGCAATGTGTGAATGGAAAAGCACATGAGGTCTGTATACACAACTGAGTATTATTCAGCCATGAAGAAAAATTAAATGATGACATTCGCAAGAATGTTGATTGAAATAGAGATTGTTATGTTAAGTGAAATACTATTCAGGCCATGGAATCCAGTATGTAGACAGCATTACCTGCCAAAATGAGAACAAAGACTTAATCCATCAAAGTTCATAGTTCTGGGACAATCCCTAAATGTATTAACTTTGCTTTTTTGCTCTTATAGTTTCACTTCTAACTGAGGTTTGTCAACCCAGGATGTGGTTTTTGTACTTAACCTGAGAAAGTCTTAGGACTGTACTGTGGTTCTGAACACCCAGTGTAGTAACAAGCCAGCTAATAAAGACTTTCTATTGTTATCCTTGTCTAAGTAGTCTGCTGTCGTGGCTACTCCACAACAAGAATATAGTCCCCCTTTTTACTTCCTTCATGTTTCACACACACACACACACA